AACTATTGAGTGTTTTAATATGTATATAAACATTTTTTTTAATACAGTTGCTTAAAACGTGGTATTTTTCGTACTACAGATCGTGCCGAAAGTTGGATTTTTCGCACTAGTGCTTTTTATTTTTCCATTTCTTTTTTTAAATTTACTGTTGTTTCAAGTCTTCTAAAGAGGTTGTATATTTATTTAATATTTATGTGGTTTGTGATATAAGTCATTCGTCATTAAAACTTATATTTACTTACAAACATCTTATTTGTTTAAATTGCATAGGTGTTTTATAAAACAACGGTTTACATTTAAAAATACCAAAATATTTTCCATAAAGATGGCTGATTGAGTATTAACCATATACTAAATCTATGGTATTAACAATGACCGGAGGTGAGTATTACGCGAGACCGCTGCGCGCCGCGCCACTAAAATAGTACTTTTAATGTGGCTGAATACTGGCAGCAGTTGCCACTGTACTCTGAATTTTTATCAGACAAATAAATAAAATGAGTTTTTTTTAAATACTGTTTTATTTTACTTTCAATGTAGGTAGTTTTTTCGCAAATGTAGTAAAAAACGTCGTTTGATACACGTGCGGATTTGTCATTTTCACTTGTCTCGAGTCTTGACCCTCACTTCTGGCTCGGGCCAAGAAGGCTCGAGACTCGAATAATGACTAACTTTCCACACTTGTCTCAAAAATAACTAGTTTGTATTCTAATTTTTGTTTTTGATGTAACGGACAAATACACATGAGAAAAACAAAACTTGAGTTCATATAAAATATTTATTGTTGCTTGGTACATTACAAGTACTAAATGAGGGACAACGGCATATCCGCCCATAGCAGTAGGGCTCGTGACAGAGTTTATAGAGTTATTTCTGCCGCCAATAAATAATGTGAGCATTACTTACTGCGTTCCGATTTTGAAGAATACGGTGCTAGTGCTGTTACAGTCACGTGGTGTAGAGTGACAAATGCAATTTTTTAATATGATACTGAATGATGGGACGAACAAGTCGTGAACTAATGACAGACGTGTGCAACCAGGCGGTTACACGTCTGTCCTTAGCAGTTGCAGTGCCACTCAGAGCTTTGAATCGCAAAGATTTGAGGAGCTCTGCCATTGTGCCTGTGACCCTGAGACGTAAGTTTATTGCCTGTAATTTCACCAGTTGAGCCACTCGTAACCAAACCGGAACGCAGTAGTGCTAGCATTACTGCTTGACGGCACAAATAAGTAAGGTGGCAGTGATCGGTTTAGTCGTTCTTTTTTGTCTTTGGAATTTATAATCCAAAGTTTTCAATCCGGATGTACTTTATGACTATAGCAAAAAACTAACTTTTCTTCTTCCGAACTACCCTTCCTAGAAGGTGGGGACTAAATAATGATGTTTGAGGGATTGCCTGTCTAGGGCCGCTACAACTTCATAGCTATGGCGTCCTTAGACAGGTTAATCAGCAAAAGCGTAGATTATCTTTTATTGCATCTCTAATGACACCCTTATAGTTCTCTTCTGCGGATAAATGGTACTGAGAGTTGCATAAAATAGTGCTCCAATGCTAGTATCGCTGTATTTCTAATACATACCGCAGGACACGCTCGAATCTTACGTATAGCACCTTGTAAAACTATGAAATTGGCTGTAAAGCCTACCTATGAAGGTAAAGAAACTATGTATATATTTTCGTAAAGATTAGCTCAAATAAGATAAAAGGAACTGTGGTATTTTTCATCGCAAATTATTTTGAACTTCAAAAAAATAAAAACAACGACGTGTATTTACTATATTAGATAATTACAGTGATCGGTTTTGGGGCTATTTGTAAGTAAAGATGCTGGAAACCCCGCTCTTCAAAGTTACATTTGTTATATCCATAAATAAGGAAATAAAAAAATTAATGTGCTAGCAGTATGTAAATAAAATATTATCTTTTATTAGTTTTTGTCTAGTAAATGCTAAATTTATTTAAAAATCCATGTTAAGTTTTTGACTCTCGTTTCTACTAGTTTAGGGTATTATTACCTACCCCTAAGTATTATGAAGACGAGACTTTATTGATTCACGCGAACACGTATCGAGATTAACACATACATGAATTTTAAGTGGGAAATTATTGTTGGGTTGAGTGATATTATTTATCGTCAAACATATGTAATTTGTATTTAACGTGTTAAGAGTCAGCACGTTTGAGTTCAACCATTTCGCTATTTTATAAAATGCACTATTTGAAAAATTACGTATACTGTCTCCTATATCATAAATGGCCAGTAAATATACCGTTATATGTGTATCAGTGCTATCAGCGTAGCAGAAGCCCAAGCCCCGACTCATTTTACATGAATTGTTTATGTAAATTAGAAATACAGTCGGTCCCAGAATTCATGCTTGCGAGACGTCAAATGTCACATCCTCTTCCTCCCTGTTTCCGGCTGTGCAAGTAATCCTTAAAATGTTGTAGTTATGTCCTTCCGATGCCTAATTTTACGATACGAGGTACATTTAAAAAGATTAGAATATATTGAATTCCTGTGGTTTGTCTTCATTTATGCACTTCATGTAAAAGTAAGCCTTTTCATGAGGTAGTGATTTCGTCGGATATAGGCATTGGTCGATTTTTATCATTGCATCATCTTTCTCTGAAAATAATGAACGATTATTTTTATTACATACACAGATCTGCCAATGACATTTAAAAAACAAGGAAACCTTTTTAAATGTTAATACGTTTTTTAATGTGTAATACGAAATTAGGAAAGAAATAATGGATCGGGAGAGGATTTTAACTAAAGGCAATATATACAATAGAGCACAAAAACAGCTTGGAAAGAGGTAATTAACTGTTTCAAGTATGTATGCTATAGTAAATACCAGTTTTAAATCTTTCAGGAATGATGAAGAATAAGGGCATTTCCAAGGAAATCGTAATGAGACAGATGAAGATGATAAGGAATAATACGTGGGTTCACATTATAAAATATAATATAGTAAGTTCATGGACGTACAACGAACTTATAAAATTATATGGACATCGGGTCCGCGCTAAAAAGTGTCCGAACTTATAGGGCGTTAAAATCGTATACAGAGCGTCATTCACGCTTTAGTCTTCGTTTGTTCGACTGACAGCGAAGCAAGCAAAATTATACAGTACTGCGATGACATTACAATTTAAATTCAACGTTTTAGCTTTTTCATATTCCTTTACATGTCACTACGTTTAAATAGGTTGACTTGGGACATTTTTTCGTGGTTTTTGTATTAGACCCGTCGTCCACTTATTTGTAAGTCAATGAGTAAGTTATAAAATTGTAACTTTTACTTTTTTTCAAGCCTTTTGTCAGAAAGACCACGATCATAGTTTATATGACTGCCGAAAATAAACATGCTTATAGGTGGGTCAATGTATAGAAGACAATAGCTACCAATAATTGCGGAAATGAGACTTTTGCGCTAAATTAAATTGTAAAACGTACACGTAAAATTAAAGGAAGGAAAGGAAAATTAAAGGTTTACAGTTTTACTTTTACTGTTTGCTATCGTGATACTAGATGGTCATTGTTACACTGAAGAAAACATTGTCAAATATTATTACCATTGTAGGGAATAAGTTCATAAGCTTCGTTCACCTTAAATACGCCCTCTTTGGACATGACATTGAGTTTGTTCAGGACACATAATATATATTTTGCCAGTGATACGTGCGGTTGCTGCAAAATAAGAGATATAATATTAAAAAAAAGTGTTATCTTTGTTTTGTGGTAATAAGGCGTGAGATTTCATGTAGAGCCGATTGTTTGTGTTCATTGTAATTTCATGTTTTTTAACAAGATAGTAACGAGTTTTTAAAATGCAAAGTAGATACACGACAGGCCTCAGTAGGTTCGCGCGTTGTGATATTTTACTGGACAGGTCGATATTGGCCTATGTGAGATGCAATATCACATATTGTATACTGCAATCTCTATCTATTTGAATGGCAAATTGAAGCCGACCGATACGTCATATTTTGTCCCATGGAGGCCTGTGGTGGTGGTGATTCAATAGACAATTATGATAGACTCTTTGTATAGAGGATGTTTCTTTTATGGTATATAAACTGCCATCAAACGGTGTGACGGTTCATCAAGTGGAAATGTGAACTGCTACGTTGGCATGGAGCTTCATAGACTTTGTCGACGATGACGTTTAAACTATTTTTTATCTCACTATACGTATTATCCTCCTAAAACCCTGCAGGCTACATCGGAACAAGAACTACACAAATGTAATTATATGCTTCGGGCTCAAGCAAGTATGATCCCAGTTTTATACGGAAATCATATTCTTCTAAATATCCCATTATCATGTGGATATATAGCACTAAATTTGAATGCGATATTTTCATTATAATTTATATTGAGTGTTTACATCATCATAAGAATAATATTGAATGGATCACTTCACATTATTATGTACATTTTGAGAGACATTGGGCCTTAGGAGGCTAAATATAGTAATTAGTATGCTCGAATTATGGTTTCAATAAAAAACCCATACATTTTAAATAAACTTTAACTTATGTTAATTCCTCTTTCAGCATTGTATTTTGTGATTATGTAACTAACAATAACATAAGACTATAGTTTGAGACTGTATAGTGATGATACCGTCAAGGTGTCTTGTTGTCAACAATTGTTTAAATTCTTTTCAAGACAACTCAATAGTTCTGCAAAGATCAAAATTCAAAATCTAATACGAAAGCTTGTACTTTCTCACATTGTACTCTCAGAATACTCGTTGAATAGCTGAACCTGTATCGAAAATTACTAGAAAAAACGATACTGGCGACATCAGGGTGACGGGCGCAGTGATAGTGCCCCTCAGATCTTTGTGATTAAGTTTCGTATTTTAGAACTCTACTCAATGCTCAACTCAGAACTCGAGTATGATTTCAAGCAATGGAAATACAACCCTAATGGCAAGGACTTGAGTATGATTTCCAGTGCTTGAAATCATACTCAAGTCCTCACTCGAGCATTGAGTAGAGTTCTGGAATACGACCCTTAAAGCCCTGAGTGCCACTGCAACTGCTGTAGACATACGCGTCGCATACCATAGGCGCAAGATTTGCTCGTCCCGTCACTTCATATCATAAAAAAATCCATAAAAGGCACCGCCAATAAAAAAAGAAGAATAAAGCACTAAGAGCAGTATTCATTTCTAAGGGTCGTATCCCAGAACTCTGCTCAATACTCAAGTCAGGACTTGAGTATTGCAGTGAGCGCTGAAAATCATACTCAAGTCCTTGCCATTAGTCCTTAAATCCTGACTTGAGCATTGAGTACAGTTCTGGAATACGACCCTTATATACCAAAGTTACGAGTTACAAGTAACAATTTGTGGTAAAAATAGAAACGTACACTTGGCCATATTCCTATCCTAAGTTTCAGCACCATTTCGGGATCAACATTAGACACGTCGACACAATCAACTTTTATAGACCTCAGTCTTTGATCGATGTTGAATTTTTTTTTGTCGATCCGTGTCAATGTTATAGTGGTGCCATCCATGTCACCGTACTGAAAATAGAAGAGTAATATTAACTACTTTTTATAATTTGACACAAAAGCTTTGTTTGGTAGGTTTTATGTTACGTGCATTTTAGAAATAAATATACGCTTATGATAAAATCATTTAACGAAAGAATTGACTTCCATTAAAAACAAGCAGTCCACTGCTGAACATAGGCCTCTACCAAGGCGCTCCATTTCGCCAGGTCCTCAGCTTGTCTCATCCACCTGCTGCCAGCAATTTTCGCAGATCGTCTCCTCGATCCATCTGATCAGAGTGTGTCCTACACTACATTACCGTGCCGTGGTCTCCAGTCAAGAACTCGCTTCACCCATCGGTTATTGGTTCTTCTACAGATATGGCCAGCCCATTGCCACTTCAACTTGTTTATTGTACCAGCTATCTTGACGACCTTGATTCTCTGTCGGATAACTTCATTTCGTACCTGTATCTGTATTCGTAAATACCTCTATGACCGAACGGAAAAATATTTGTATGGCCAACATTTGGTTGTCTATGTGTATATATTTGGTTGTATATCCATGGCACCCTCAACGCAGGGCTTCCCTAGTGCGGGATATGTACAGTGTGTGTTTGTGTGAGTGTGTGTGTGTGTGTGTGTGTGTGTGTGTGTGTGTGTGTGTGTGTG